GGGGAAGAACTGGGACACCTGTAATAGCATAATCACTAAAATACAATAAAAAAAGAGAAAGTGAGGAGGCTATCATGCACTGGAGGGTCTGTTCCACCGCAATGTACTCTTAGTGCATTTTGAGGCAACGCGGCATTGGTTTTAGCATGCCAGGTCCCTCATAATTTACTTTTTAATGAAGTCTGCCTGAGGGTTCTCTCTCTCAAGGTCTCAGAAATAACACACAACCAGGATATCTTATGAGAGAGTTGAGCTGCTCTGGCTCAGAAAATTGTTTGCTGTTGTCTCAGACTTTTTGATCTGGTTCTGTCAGCCAGCTTACATTCTTCCACGTCTGTTTACTGAATACTTACTCTGCCCAGACACTTCGCTGGAATCTGAGACTAGAGAGAGAGAAGCCCTAGTCGATGCCTTTGAAACACCTATGACCTAGGCAGTTAAATAAATGCAGCATCATGTGGTTAAGGTTTCTGATAGAGGCCAGGTGTGGAGACACATGGAATAGACATTTAAGGGCAGGGAGAGGGAAGAGGTCAGGGAAGACTTCCTGGGGGCGGTGATGTCTGAGCTGCTTTATGAGGAGGGTGAGGCTGGAGGGTCTGGGAGAGGGTGCAACATGTGAGAGCTGAGCCTGTAGACACGTGGAAGCCTGGGGAGTCTCAGGGCTCCACATGGGCTTGGTGTGCCCCGGAGGGGGGCTTGAGGCAGAGACTTGGGGGGGGGGAGTTGGTTAGAGGACAGTCAGGAGGACTTTCATGACATCACGGCCTTCAAATAACCATCACAGGGGTCCAGCAGGGCCCGCCCTGCAGCTCCCATGGGCTACTTTCCTGCTCTGAACTCGAAGTTTTTGTCTTGCTTCTAAAGCAATGCATGTGGGCAGTAAGAAATAAAAGACATGGAGATACGCAAAATGAAGCCAATTATACCTCCCACAGTCCTGTTACAAAACCTTTTCTTTAACAAGTTATAAATATCCTTCTAGATCTTTACATACGTATTTTTCTTCAGTATTTTAAATATTTTCTTTAAAATGCAATTAAAACCTACATATTGCTTTGTAACCTGCTTTTTGTTCCGTTAGTATTTTATGACCATATTTTACATGAATAGACATTTTTCTGTATTATTTGTAACATCTGAATAGTAGTATTTCTTTAGTTATACCACCGTGTATTAAAACGTGCCTATCGTGGTGTAAAGGTATTTGAATGTTGGACATTTCAATTGGTGTCAGTATTTTGCCATTAGGAATAGTATTTAGATAAACATTCTGGCTCCTACCGTTAATCATTTCCCTGAGTCCTTGTCAATAGCTTTATTCAATTTTAATCTTAAAAGAACAAGGTTGTAGGATGACCATACCCCGAATAACCAGAAAGCAGTGCAAAACCATGCATAACCGTCCTCGGCCCATCATCCTTCTTGTTACAATGGGGCAAACAGGGACCCGGCTCCCCTCGCCTCATTGTCTCTGGTGACTCCAGCCTGCCACCCCGAAGGGACATGAGCTCATGAGGAGGTGATGTGGAGTTTACTTAAGCGGGACAGACACGGGGCCTCCGTGTGACGAGGAGGGAGCCAGGGGACGCCTTTGGGGGCTCAGCTCAGGCTGGGAGGCAGGCAAGTGACGTAAGAAAAGAGGGGTGTCCAGGCAGCTCAGCAAGGCAGGTCGGGATAGGAGAGGAGGTGGGAGACTTCTGGGAGAAGGTGCCACGCGTGGAATGGCCTCCCGTTGGGGCTGCCGCTGGGAGCAGTCAACTATCAGATCCAGCCGGGGGTATGGAAGGGGGTGAGGGGTTAGCTAAGTGACTCCTGAGATGCTTTCTGTATTAGTTGGGGCTCCCCAGGGACCCAGACCTGCAGAACTAACACAGACAGAGGTGTATGAGAGGGATCGGCCCACGTGTACGCAGCTGGAGAAGCCTCCCAATCAGGAAAGCAGGTGGCGGCCGGAGAGGAAGGAGCCAGGGGCCGCCGCGGCAGCAGGTGGTTCGGCAAGCGCGCAGGCTCATTCTTCCTGTGCTTTCCGTCCTGTTTGGACCTCGGCGGAACCATGCCCGCCCTCTTGGGTGCAGGCAACCGTCTTCACTTAGCCCATCAGCAAAGCCAACCTCGTCCAGAAGGGCTCTCCCAGGCAGACCCAGGAAGGATGTCTCCATGGTTTCGTTGAGCTCATGTGTGCTCCGTGGAGCACGGCATGCTGCGTGGGGGCCTGTTTAACCACAGGACACAGGAGCCACGGAATCGAGGTCCTGGAGGATGTGCTTGGCAGGCCTGGAGGGGCGCCTGGGGGCGTCAGGGCAGAGGGCAGAAGCAGCAGACAGACAGGGACATGTGCCTTTATTCGGGCCTGTGGGTGGGGTGCTTTGGAGTTCCCAGGCAAGCGCCAAATTGGTCGGTTCAACCCAAAAGATGGGTTTGGGTAAGCCCCACAAGGCTCTCATCCAAAAGACGCGGAAGGCGTGCGGGCCGTGGGAGGCAGGGAAGACAGCGGATCCCAAGGGCTCCTGTTGGGAAGGCCTATCAGGAACTCGCGGTGGCTTTTGGCCCTGGCGGCAGGGTCCCTGCAGGGTGCTTGGTTAAACAGAGGGCGGCGGAGGCCGCACTCCCACGGAGCAGCTTGGCTGGGCGCTCACCCAGGGCCCACCAGCTGGCTGGGGCTCCCTTAGCCCAGCCAGCCTGATGCATAAAATTAACCGCCCTGCCTTCCAGTGTTGCGAATTTATGCTTCTCTAAACGATACACAGCTCGGTGGAGCCTTTCACTTGCATCACAGCCTTTAATCCTCACGCGGTCCCTAAGGAGGGCCGATGCCGTTCCCACCTGTACAGAGGAACAGCTAAGGCTGGTAATGGAGAGAGGGCCGGCTGGGGCCCAAACCCACCTCTTCTCACCCACACCCCAGGTGGATCTCATGTCCCGTCGTCACTATGGGCTGCTTTCTGTCCTCCGCAGGGGTGTCTCCTTAGCGGCACCGTCTTCCTTTTCCGTCTGCTCGTCCCTTGGGGACAGAAGTTGGGGACAGAAGGAATAAACATTCACGGAGACCCTCCCGTATGCAAACTTCGTGTTGGGTGCTGTACCCAAAGCCTCTCATTTCACCCTCTGAACGGCCACTGAGGGACACAGGGAAGCCAGTCTTCCCTGCGCGGGCATGTGGTGAAAGGCGCACAATTAAAAACGACAGAGCAGGAATTTTATCTGACATCCAATAAAACGTGTGCACTTTGCACGGCCTGGGTCCTCTGTTTCCTTGCCCAGCCGCCTCTGAGCCGCGTGAAAGTCCTTCCGGTGAGACTTTCCGCACCGTAGGACCCTGACTCCAGCTAGGACGCCCTCGGGCCGCTGTCCTGCCCCGCGGCCTGGCCCCGCCCACCGCGTGCTCCTTTTGCAGAGCGACTGCAGGAGAGGACCGGCCTGCCGGGTAGGCCTCCCGCGGGCTCCCATTGGTCAAGTGCCCTGGCCCCGTGTCCTGAGGACCAGCGTGGAGGGGTCCCTTTCTTTTCTGGTTCATTGTTAAATGTCAGGCTGAGGTTTCTGGTCCATTGGAAAAGGAGGGACGGGATGTCACAGGGGAGGAGGACAGAGAAAGATGGAAATGCCACAAAGCCAGCAGTTTTTCAGTCAGGTGGGCAAATGTCGCTATTCTTCGGATCAGCATTTGATTCGGCCTTTCCTTCTTGGCGAACAGATAGCTGCTTCGGGTCATGAAAAAAAAATACGCTCAGTGCAATGAAACAGATATTGAGTAAGAGGCTAAAAATGAAAGTTCAACATAAACTCTTGCATTCCACCGAAATGTTTGGCTGAACTCCTAAGGAGAGCGGTGAGGCCTTTCCCGGACGCGTGCACTCAGACGATCCACGGGAAGAACGTTTAGGGAAGAGCGAAGGGGGTCTGAGGCGGACGAGCGAAGGGGCTCCTTTCGGCCCAGGGAGCGGGTGAGCATTGGCAGGGCCACGTCGGAGACTAAGAACCCGGCAGGGTTGAAAGAGCCGTTAGGATACGTTAGGGGAGTAACAGGCTGATGAACAGCGCGTGTACTGGTAGCAAAACAGAGTCACCTGAGGAATTGAAAAGTAAGGGAAACATAATTCCAATAAGGTGGGAAGACTCCTCTCATCCTCCCTATTCTTTATCAATAAGAAGGGAGCACATGACAATAAAAGAGCAGAAGTCAGGGGGGTTTGTGGGCGTGTGACCTCGGTGTTAGGGGAGCCAAGCCCATGTCATGGCCGTAGGAGACTCCGGGCAGGGCACTGACCCACGACAGGCATCAGGTCCCTCAGAACTGTGCACAGGTGGTTTTCTGCTCTTTGCCCATCCCTCGATGGCCAGGCCCCCCGGGAAGTCGGCACGGTCCCCGAGTTCTGGAGGGTGGCCTCAGGTTACATGTTGGAGCTGGTCCCTCAATTTACAGCACTGATTCTTCTTAGGGAAGAATAGAGATGGTGAGAACATGTGTTAGAATTTTATCTCTGAGAGATGACTACAAAATACTAAATTGGCTCCAACAGTTTGAGCCAAACTTGAAAACTCCCAGTCTCTTAGGATTAAAAAAAAAAAAAAAAAGTATAATCCTATTTAGAAATTCCTGGTGTGATCGCAGATTGGGGTTTGGTTCTTTTCAAGAAGCCTATTAATTAAAAAGTACATAATGCAAAGTCAATTAAGCAGTAAGATATTATAACAGATTCTTATTTCATTAATTTTTCCAAGCATGAAAAATAAGTACACATTCGACACCAAAAATTCACATTTTCCACTGGCGACTGAAGACAGTGGCCATCATTTCAGTTCGCTGTGGGCTGACCGACCTCTGAAATGATTTATTGATGCCAGGCGACGTTCCCCTCGTGGGGTTAGTCATTAGGTTAGGCTTGATGAGAAACATACGGGTAGGGCTGGGGATTCAAATATGGATTATACTTCTCCTCCGAATCAGAAATAAATTTACCATGGGCTTTTTTCTTCTTCTTTCTGTTTTGTTTTTTCAGGCTCATGCCAAAATCTGGCACCTCTACAACACGTCTTTCCGTCCGACTCAGGGGGGGCAGGTGTCCATTGCCCTAGGTTCTCACTGGATCAGCCCTCGAAGAATGACAGATCACAGCATCCAAGAATGCCAGAAATCTCTTGACTTTGTTCTTGGCTGGTTTGCCAAGCCCATATTTATTGATGGTGACTATCCCGAGAGCATGAAGAACAACCTTTCATCTCTCCTGCCTGTTTTCACGGAGCCTGAGAAAAAGTTCATCAAAGGAACAGCTGACTTCTTTGCTCTTTCCTTTGGACCGACCTTGAGCTTTCAGCTCCTGGACCCTCCCATGAAGTTCCGCCAAGTGGAATCGCCCAGCCTGAGGCAGCTGCTCTCCTGGGTCGACCTCGAATACAACCACCCTCAGATATTTATCGTGGAAAACGGCTGGTTTGTCTCAGGGACCACCAAGCAAGATGATGCCAAATATATGTATTACCTCAAAAAATTTATAATGGAAACTTTAAAAGGTAGGATGGGGGATAAATTTCTAATTTCCTGCCCAAATCCACCATTAAAAATAATCTCTAGGGTGATCTGTAATAAACTATGTGGATTTATAGTTTTTGATCATAAGGCAGAAATTGATTTTGGCCATAATAGGAATGAATTCATGGTGTACCTTTCTCATTCGGGGACTTAAATTAATTTAATTTAATTAATTTAAAAATTAAATTAATTTTTAAACCCATTTTGTAAATTGGAGGAATTGGATTGTAATGTGTGAAATTACTTGACTTTCAGAAGGCCTACTCCAGATTTTTAGATTACAGTAAGGATTAAGTAAATCCCAGGGTATCTAGCTCTCCTTTGTATTTTTGGGTTCTTATACTTTGTACTGAATGAAGCAATTAAAAAGAAAAAGAATATCAACATCTTCTGGAGAAGTCAGTAGTTCATACTTTCAAAGACTTTCTTCATTTATTACATCAGGCACAGTGTTAGGTGCCCAGGACAGAAAGGGGAACATCTGCCCAGGCCGGAAGAACACCCGCTGGAAATGAGGGAAATGCAAATAAAAACATACTGGAGATGAGCCTATTTGTGAAGAGTTTATTTATAGAGTTATCCAGGCTGGAGGAGAGCCTTTTGCAGGTCGTTTTACCAAACAGTAAACACACTGCATGATTTATTTCCTTGCATAGGAAAACCCTCCAATGCGCTTCCATCACAGGCGAGTGTCCCGTGAAGGGCCACTTGCTCCTGTCCTCTCTTCCCTTTGCAGCCGTCAGGCTGGATGGGGTGGACGTCATCGGGTACACAGCGTGGACCCTCCTGGACGCCTTCGAGTGGCACCGAGGCTACAGCATCCGGCGCGGACTCTTCTACGTCGACTTTCTGAGCCCGGATAAGAAGTTGCTGCCAAAGTCTTCGGCCCTGTTCTACCAACAGCTGATCGAGAAAAACGGCTTCCCTCCTTCACCTGAAAATCAACCCCTCAAAGGGACATTTCCCTGTGACTTTGCTTGGGGGATTGCTGACAACTACATTCAAGTAAGTCAGCTGACAAACCAATCAGCAGCCTCACCAGGCCCTCTCGCTCGTAAGTAGAGCTTCCTTCGGAGGTTGTCATGCCCCTGGTCCGTCCTCCCTGGCCGCACGCGGTTCCCGAGGGGCGTCGTTTGGAGCGCTGCGTCCTCCTCTCCAGCGTCTCTTCTCTTCCTAGCTTCTTCACCTTGCAAATCACAGGGGAACAAAAGTATATGAGTAGCTAAGATCTGATAAGATCCACTCTTTTTAACACCGTGGTTTTCAAAACTTTCAGAGCAGTTGAGTCGATCCGTAAATGAGACACAGCTCCACGTTGCCTGAGGTCGGAGCAGGGCTGCTGAGTGCGGGGCAGGCACACGGAGCAGAGCCCTCCTGAGACGTCGCTGAGGGCCCTCAGTCTCGCCGAAGGATGTAGAGAAGGAAAACCATTGCTCAAACTCACCTCAGGCAACAGTTGTTGAGATTGCGGGGGGGGGGGGGGGGCTTCGAAAAGGTCAGCCAATACCCGTCAAGCACCTGCTCTGCAGCTCGTTCTCGGTGTTATTTTTAGTTTAATGATTTCGCTTCAAAACTTTAAACTTTAATTGAATTTTCTTTCCTTGTAAGGGAATTTGTTCTCTAGAGTTGGAGCGAGCAGTGAGCACTCGCTGGGCGCTGAGCACGCCCGCAGGCCTGTGCTGGTTGCCTGGGGTGTGCGGGCGGCGGGGGCGGGGGGGGGCGGTGTGCAAGGCGAGGAGGGAGGCGCGCCCCCCCTTGCGAGGAGCCTGCAGAGAAAGCAACGGCCACGCAAACAGGAGAACAGCGTGGGCCGAGCGCGTGGTAAGTGAGCAGGACCGTGGCAGGGCCGCCATCGCTGGGCAGAGTGTGGAAAGAGACCAAGTTGAGTATCAGGGGCCTGGCCTGCTGGGGCTTCTGGCCAGTTCCCTGCCTCTGTAGGGAGGAGGGACAACGCCCCCTCCACCCTTCTGAGTTCTTGGTTGAGACCCCTGTAATAAAGGACAGATGATCAAGGTAAGAACACACCGAAGCTTAGTAGCACGTTTACCGCCTGAACACGTGGGAGACACTCGGAGAGAAACAAGTCACCCCCGCGGTGGCTTAGCATCCGGGCTTCCACGCCTCTGCGTTAGAGGGAAAGCGGAGAGGGGGCCAGGCCTCCTACGGCAGTGGGAGAGTAAATGCCTTTCAGGAAACATAAATGGGCCCTTGCAAGAATGGGTGGAGCTACGGCAGTTTGGGACCAAGTTCGCCCGCCTGTAGAGCAGACTCCTAGTCTCTTCTGTGGCAAGAGCTGACTCCCCTGCCGCTCAAACTCGGGAGGGGGCATCTTCAGGCCGCTAAGGAGGGTGCAGGGAAAGCAAACCGCCCCCTGCCCCCGCCTCTGCCGTGAGTGTCGGCAGCTCCCCACAGCCAACGCGCCAGGGGGGCCTGTCCTGGGGGGCTGTCCCGTTACCTTTCAGTCCAAAAGTATTTGGAACCATGTTGGAATCTGAGGAAAGGCCTCCTAGTTGAAACCGGTTGCTTTTTTCTTGTAAATATCAAATTGCCATCTTTTAGTGCAGGAAGAGAGATCAGCACTAGACTTCACCTGGGCTTTGCGGGGTTGTGTTACCCTAGAGTCTTTTGTTAGACCCCCAGTTAGTCGCAGGGGTGGTCTCGGAAGTGAAGTCCTTCCTTGCACAGGAGCAAGGACCCCTGAGGCCACAGCTGCTCTGCCCACTCGGCGGGGGTTTCCGGCCCCTCCCTCGCCCCTCCCCCAGCCCACGCTCTCTGCCACCTCCCTGTCGGAACTGCTCTCTTGAGGGGGCGACGCACAGTGGGACGAGAAGGGGCAGGAGAGGTGCAGGTGAGGGAGAAGGAGAAAAGCGGGGCTGGACTCCATAGTCGCTCCCTCTTCCTCCCCGTTGCGGCGGCCGGGGTGGGGTGGCCCCTGATCCTTTTTCGTCCTCTTGACCCCCTGCCATGCCACGCTCCCTGCTAGGCCCTGCGCCCCTTGTCATCGAGGGCTGAGGCTCCTCCCGAGCTCCGTGGCGGCCTGAGCCTGGCCACCCCAGTTCAGTCCTTTGTGAAGAGCTGTTTCCCAGGGCATCTCTGTGCAGAGGGCATGACCTCAGGGAGGTTGGAGGGCTCCCCCTTATCTCTGCTCCGTACCCGCCCAAGGGTTGTGTTTGCCTTGCGGACAGGTAAGGACTGAGAAAGTCTTAAGAATGTGTCCTATTTCCTCGGAAGAGGAGAGGCACTGGTCGGATGCAGCAGCCGGGCGGCGAGGCAGGAGGCGATGGGGCGAGAGCCCCCTTTCCTACCCCTCAGAAGCGCTTGTTATGTCAGGCTGCACCCGCATTTACATCATGAGCTCGGGGGACGGGGCGGTTCCTGTGCCGCCACCCAGCGGAGCCCCAGGGTGCTCCGGTGAGAACCAGCCAAACGCAGGGCTAGGCAGGCCTCGCTCCGGCCCGCGGGGACGGGGACTTCTCCGGGAGCCCATTGCTGGGAGAAGGCTGCAACTGCTCTTGTATTCTTTCTGCTTCTCACCGTGAGCTCTGGATTACTCTGGAGGTGACAACAGGTTTTTTTTGGGGGGGGGAGGGGCAGTTTTGAGGAATGTGGGCAAATGTTTTAATTTACAAGAGGCACTCCATACTCTCAATACGTTCAAGTCCTGAGAAGTGACTTTTGAACCATTGAAATGTGCCTTTTTCCTCCCGCCTAGCATTCCAAAATCCTGATATTACTGAGGCCTGCATTGCACTTGAAAAACTTTAAAAATCATGTCCCATGAGGCACACAGCCTGTCTGACGTCTGACCTCGGGCGCATTCGCACGGGGTGTCGCTGTGTTCGGACCCATTTTCCGGCTCGCAGCGTCTGTCCGCAGGCGCTGACCCTCACGGGGAGTTCACGCGGAGTTCACTGTGTCCAGGGTGCATGGTTTCTCTAACACCGGCCCTGCTAGGAGCCGGTTTCTTCCATAACATGCTAAATACATACTTCATACCCATTCCTTCTGACAGGTTCAGCTTTATTAGCTCACATTTTTAAATTAATAAGTCAACTAACTCATGGCGGTTGGATAGAATTTTGCCTAAATTCTGTCATTTCTAAATATCCTGTATTTTTAAGAAATCTATCCCCCTACTTATATTTTAGTCTCTCATATTTGTTTTCAAATGGACTGAATAAAAGCTGGTGTTTTGGAACAATTATGGTAGAAAAGCTATGGATTTAGTGAACTCAGTTCTATAAAAATAATCCCCCAATTCCTTCAAGCTCTGGACACTTTCACGTCACACGAGCATGCCAGCCTTTGCTGCTGCAAAGAGGAGGAGACGTGATTTGTGGGTGGGTCGCAGTGGAAAAACGGTTCTGTCGGCAGCCCCACAGCTCTGGGGAAGTGCACGCGTGGGTGAGCGGCAAGGGCCCATCCTCCAGAAAAGGCAATTTCCCTCTGACATGCTGTGTTTTATTAGTACTTTCCTTTATGAACACAGCACCGACCCCTACAGAGAGACAGACAACAGCTCGTTTGCCACAGGCCCCGGGAAACTGCCAGGAAACCTGTCCTAGAGATTCCGAACGGCGGTTCGTCTGACCCGGCTTTTTCACGAGGGTCGTGCCCGGTGACCTCCCCTAAGGAGATTCTGCCCAGACCCCGGGCGGGGGCAGTGGCTGGGGGGCGCTCTCCGTCTGCGTCCCCTCCCTGCTGGGCCCGGGGAGGGAGCCTTTTGTCCTTCTGAGTTTACAATTTGTCCACTTTCCCGAATGCCTGTTTTCATGGTGGAGGCTTCGAGCTCAGATGTTGATCGTCACAGAAAAACAATTAGGAAAAAAATTTTAACCCTGGCGGGTGCGGCTCAGTAAACTGAGCACCAGCCTGCGGGCCAAGGGTCACGGATTCGATTCCCAATCAGAGCACCTGCCTGGGTTGGAGGCCAGGTCCCCAGTAGGGGGCGCTGGAGAGGCAACCACACGTGGATGCTTCTCTCCCTCTCTTTCTCCTTCCCTCCCCCCTCTCTAAAAATAAACACAATCCTAAATTTTTTTTAAAAATTACATTTAAAAATCCCATTATGGGTGGATGGCAATATTGCTCCTCATGTCCACATCCCTCGTTACTTCCTTCCGTCAGTCGGATGGAATTTGTTCAATTCTGTCAACCGCCGCGAAGTGAACAGGAGGCTACAGGTCGGCTTACTGAGGGCCGCCTCCTCCGAGGGCAGCTCTCAGAGTAGAACGTGATTTTTAAGAAGCACAATTTAATGTCAAATGCCATTTCATTTTTTGACTCTAACTCAGGTGTTAACCTTTCTCTTGGCCGTTTAAAAACAATTTCAGTCTCATTACTGATTTCTTGTATTAAAAGAAAAATGCCTCCAAATACTCTGCTTGCTTAACACAGACCAGAGATGGGTGAGAATCACCGTTAATGTTTGTCATCTGAATGAGGGAACAATTCAGATTTTTAAAACGATGTGAGAGTCACAAAGAGAACTATGCATAAGACAAATGTGCGTTAAAAGAAAATGGGCTGTTTCCTCGTTCAGGAGCTTGTTATTCATGGAAAATTGTTTCCGTGTTAGCTAGGGAGGGTCCTGTTTGCGTTCATGCTGCTCGCTGGTTTCGGTGGAAGACTTGCATTGAGATCCTCTTCCGAGCCTGTCCAGGTGAGTCACAGATTTACGCTCCTCTGTCCCCCCAGGTGGACACCACGCTGTCCCAGTTCACCGACCCGCACGTCTACCTGTGGGACGTGCACCGCAGCAAGGGGCTCCTGAAGGTGGACGGCCTTGTGGCCAGGAAGCGGCCGCCCTCCTGCGCGGACTTCGCGGCCATCCGCGCCCAGGTGGCCCTCCTGCAGGACACGCACGCCACGCACTTCCAATTCTCGCTGGACTGGGCCCTGGTCCTGCCACGGGGCGACCGGTCCCAGGTGAACCACACAGCTCTGCACTTCTACCGCTGCGTGGCCAGCGAGCTGGTGCGCGCCAACATCACGCCCGTGGTGGCGCTGTGGCGACCCGCTGCCCCACGCCAAGGCCTGCCCGAGCCCCTGGCCCGGCAGGGCGCCTGGGAGAACCCCCGCACCGCGCTGGCCTTCGCCGAGTACGCCCGGCTGTGCTTCCAGGAGCTCGGCCCCCACGTCAAGTTCTGGATCACGATGCACGAGCCGCACACGCGGAACATGACGTACAGTGCCGGGCACAACCTGCTGAAGGCCCACGCGCTGGCCTGGCGCGCCTACGATGGGCAGTTCCGGCGCTCCCAGAACGGGAAGGTGTCCCTGGCCCTGCAGGCCGACTGGATCGAGCCGGCCTGCCCTTCCTCCCCAAAGGACAAGGAAGGGGCGGAGCGGGTGCTGGAGTTTGACGTGGGCTGGCTGGCTGAGCCCGTGTTCGGCTCCGGGGATTACCCACGGGTGATGAGGGACTGGCTGAACCAAAGAAACAATTTCCTTCTGCCCTATTTCACCGAAGACGAAAAGAGGCTCATCCAGGGCTCCTTCGACTTTCTGGCGTTGAGCCACTACACCACCATCCTTGTGGACTGGGAGAAAGAAGACCCAAGCAAGTACAACGACTACCTGGAGGTGCAAGAGATGACGGACATCACGTGGCTCAACTCGCCCAGCCAGGTGGCGGTGGTGCCCTGGGGCTTGCGCAAGGTCCTGGGCTGGCTGAAGTCCAAGTACGGGGACCTCCCCACCTACATCATCTCCAACGGCATCGATGACGACCCGCAAGCCGGCCAAGACAGGCTGCGGGTGTATTACACGCAGAATTACGTGAACGAAGCTCTGAAAGGTACGGCCCCCTGTAAACTCTCTTGAAGGCTATGTTTCCCGAGGGCATGATGCCTGTTAGAAACTCTCACACAGACACGCACAGGTGCCTTCAGAGGGAGGTGCTGTCGTGTCTTGCCACACTGCAAAAGCCCTACTGAGAGTTAGTACGTTCCCCAGAGGTAAATTGCTGTAGCTACGAGCAGCAGACCGAAAATCGTGACCACCTGCTCCGGGCCGTGCGGGCACGGATGATCCTGCCCTCCTCCGTCCCACGGACCACGGCAGCCTGACCTGCTTCTCGGGCACCGAGGTCAACCCAAGCACCTCGTGGTAGGCGTCGCTGTGTAAAACCTACAGGTAAATGTAGCTCGATGTTTGTCTTCCCAGAAAGGGAGCCTTTTCTGATGAAATCCAGTTGAACCTGAAGTTTTCGTAGGTGGCATGGACACTTCCCCGATGTGCTAAGGCCGTGTAAAAGCGTTGTGTGCACAGTCTTTCATTAACTGTTCTCCTTCCTTTTGTTTTCCAGCCTACATATTGGACGGGGTCAACCTCTGTGGCTACTTCGCGTATTCGTTTAACGACCGCACGGCGCCCACGTTTGGCCTCTATCGGTACGCCGCCCATCAGTGTGAGCCCAAACCGTCCATGAAACATTACAGGAAAATCATCGACAACAACGGCTTCCCGGGCCCTGAAACGCTGGGGCGCCTTTGTCCGGCAGAGTTCGCCCTGTGCACCGAGTGCGGCTTTTTTCACACCCGAAAGAGTTTACTCGCCTTTATAGCTTTTCTACTCCTTGCTTTCATTATTTCGCTTTCTCTTATTTTTTACTACTCCAAGAAAGGCAGGAGAGGTTACAAATAGTCCTGAACATGTTCCTACTTATTTATTTTGAAAGAATTATGCATACACATTAGCTGTGAACCATTTGCACTTGTGACACTGTAGATTTCATGTCTAATTTCTACAAAACCTTTCTGTAACATGTGACAGAGGTTTTGAAATAAGCACAGGTGATTGTAAAACCTTGAATACTGTGACTAGTGCCTGGGGGTTTTTGGGGGGGGGTTACAGAGTGATCGAGAAACAGACGAGGGCCATCATTTCTACAACATACTCTGTAGCAAAAGCATGAGAAATACGAACCATTCTGTCACATTTTTACAGAAATGTAACGACAAGATTAGGATATTTTATCTGTGCCCCTCCCTAAATAATGTATTTACTTAAAGTAATATTTGCACGTGTTGGAAATCAAAGTCAAGTCCCAAGCAACCACCTCCCAGCCGCCATGACAGCCCGCTGGTGTCTGTCGCGCCGTTTCCGTAGAAAGAGGAGAGGGCAGGATACAGGAGGGGTGACAGAGGACCCTAGGCTGGGACGGCCCTTTCAAGAGCAGCGTTTCTGCCCAGCGCTGCTGACATGCACGGACGTTTCTGGTTAATGATCTGCTTGGCAGAGCAGGTTACAGAACTGGACCCTTTTACGGGACTTTCGAGGCCCTCTCTGAGCCCTGGCCCTTGCAGGCTCTGCGTCCTGGGCCACGGGGAGGGCCGGCCTGCTCATCGGGGACTTGCCGCGACTGTGTGAAAACTAAACACGGCCCAGGAGTCGCCGGGCTCCTCGGGAAGCACATATCGACGGAGAACCGCGTTGTGCTGCCGGGGCTCTGGGAGGCGGGAAGGAGAGAAAGGTGTGCATTATGAGCAACACGATGATTAATTTGATTCTAAACCCTTTCATTTTAGAAGAGACCTTGGGATGAATGAGGTGACCTTTCTTGAGAGTCAGAACAAAATAATAACTCATCCTCTGAAGAATGACGTCACTTTCTGCTCTTTAGACTGTGCCATCATCCCTCTGAGTGGAGCTTTAAAAATGCTTCCGAGGTTCCAAGGCACGTGGTCTGGTAACACTGGAAAATTTGCGTTCGCGAATGCTGAGGCCCAGTTTCCATTTTTGCTGCTACTACGGTGGAACCAGCTTCGAACTAGTTTTGCTTTGAATTTTTACCCTGAAACAGGCTACGGATGCCCAGAAAGGGTGACGTCTTGCCCTCCGATGCCCCTGAAGTAAGTCTTGCTGCTCATCAGGCAGGGAAACCCATGGCACTGGTGTGGGGGAGGATCTTAATGTTTGTTTTACAGACAAGCCAGCGTCGTACCAGGCATAACTAATCTTGCTGGCACAGTGTTACATGGGTAAGAAATACTGTACCGTATGATGCATCATCTTTAGAGGTGGTATGATTTTTTTTCCATGAAAGATACGCTTTTGGTGGTACTCTTTTAAAAATTGAACTTATTAAAATGGGAAACTAGAGAATCATAGTTTATTTTATGTATATATTTTTCTGATTATGAGAGTAATATATATTCATTGTAAAAAGTTTTAAAACACAGAAACTATATGTAAAAAAAAAAAAATTACCTGCAATTTCGCTACCCTGAGGTAGTCACTGTTTCCATAGGCTGTGTATTTTACTTTACATAATTGGAGTCAGATCATACTGCAAATTGTTATATATCTTTATTAATTTTGATTGTGTGCATTTCCTTTGTCATTTATCTTCAAAAGCATTCTATTTTTAATAGTCAGAGAGTAATTCCACTATGTGAATTTATCACAACTTATTTAATCTCAACCATTCCTATTTGTTGGACTAATTTCTTATTGTTAATTACTGTGAAATGAATGTCATTTTAAAATGACTTTCTCGCTACAATAATTTCTTTGAGTGTAGAGAAGCAATTCTGTCCCTTGATAAAGAATTACAATAAATCTGCCTACAACTTTGCCTTTTTTCATAATTATATGACGTGTGACCCAATAAATTTATTAAAAAAAATTTTTTTTGAGTTCTCTAAACCACAGATTACAGTTGGAGCAGCGAAGAAATAGGCCTGGCAGCAAGAGGGAGCAAAGGCCGGGCTGGTCCGGCCAGCTCTGCGGTTGGGCTGGAGGTCATTTCGGACACTGAGAAAGCAAAACAAGGCAGGAGCCGAAGGGACGAAGCAGGCGCCAAAGTACAAAGGAGAGACGGCACTTCAGAGTCGTTTCCCTGAGTTGCAAGGACAGCAGCGTGCTAACTCTGAGTCCCCATAGGCCCCGGGGGAGGTCGGCGGCCCGCGGGCCTGACGGAGACAGGGCCTCTGGGATCAGTTCCCCCCGCACGGCCAGCTCCTCTGTGGGCGGCTTCTCAGAGCACAGCCTCCTCCCACGGCGCTCTGCCCTCGGGGGGCTGAGGGCAGGGCCCACGGCATAGGCGGGGGTGGGCAGAGGGCGGTTTGCTGTTGTGAGTGACCTTCTTCCGAGTCAGCAAAGCCATTGCAATCACCAGCACCTGCGTGTGTCTCTCTATACAAACAACTGTAAACCTGCCTTTGTCCACCCCATACATGGATATACATGTATATTTGTAAATATATGTATGTAAAGAGAGAGACCAGCCCCCTGGAACTCTCACATCTCTTCGTAGTTGGGGGGTCATCTCTCAGGGCCACTGAGCAGCGAGCGGTGGGTCACTTTGCCCTGGTTTCAAAGGCCTGGCATTCAGATTCATTAAGGACATCTTTCATTCCATTTTTGTTGTCTTCCACAGACAATATTGGAATCTTCTAATGCCTTAGAAGCTTTCCTTTATATAATTTATAACATCCCTCTCCAACAAAGATATAATGCAAGCCACCTATCTTAAAGTTTCTAGTAGTCACATTAAAGAAATAAAAAAATCACAGAAGAAATAAAGATCAGACTATATTCTATGTTTCCTCCAGAGCCAAAATATTATCATTTCAATAGACAATCAATATACAAATGATTAGCGTTTTTACATCCTTTTCTGTGGCACTAAAGTCTTAGAAATCTGGGGCGTGCTTGGCAAGCACAGGCCACCCGGAGCTCCGTGGGGCTGAGCTACACCGTGAGCGCCTGCTGGCGACCCTGTTGCACAGTGCGGGCTGGTAAGGCGAGCCTTGCTCTGCCCGGTCAGTAGCAGAATCAAAGGATCCAACACACTTAACAACTTAAAAGACTCAACTTTTCTCAAGCATCCGCGAAGTTCCCAGGCTGATGTGGCTCATCGATTGAGCGCTGGCCTGTGAACGGAAAGGTCGCTGGTTCGAATCCCCATCAGTGCACATGCCTGGGTTGTGGGCCAGGTCCCCAGTAGGGGGTGCACAAGAGGCCACCACGCATGGATGTTTCTGTCCCTCTCTTTCTCCCTTTCCCCTTCTCTATAAATAAAATCTTTAAAAGTAAAAGAATCTTCTAAACTAATCCATAGAAACAATCAGCATGTAAGTTCACAACTAAGCTTCACTGTTGATTAAAACAAATATTTCAAAGACATCTATGTGGACAGGCGCATTTTGCAATCCTGAATGTCAGTCAATTCAGGATTAAACTGCTTTTCTTTTTACATAGTCTGTAATTCAGTCTTTTTTTTCTAATTCAAATTGCCCCTTTCCAAATTAATAGAGCAATTGTATTGTTCATGAGCATCTTGAGTCAATGTTTAACAGGAAAAGTGCTGCTCAAAATATCTGCTTTGGATGAAAACCATTAATTCTGATGCTATGGACCGGCCTCGAGAGGAGGGCCTGGGGTCCAGAGGGCAAAGCGGAGGCCCTGTCCTCGCTGTTTTGTTTGTTTCTCTAATTATCCCAGAGTAACGTCATTAGCTGGACAAATGTAGGAATGAGTGAAGGAGCAAAGTAATGAGCAGAACTAGCTCACCGAGGTCACCTATGTCCAGAGATGGGTTTAACGGGGACCAACGGTCAGACGTCAGCAACTGCTTGGGGAAAGGCACCAGCACCTCAGGTCCCTGGATCTGGAGGAAGGGCTGGCACCCTTGTGGCGATAACCTTTCACAACCTGTCGTCACCTCTAGTCTGGTCACTGTGACAATTGTAATTTCCTTCCCCATTGTTGACGCTGTCCCTCCGCTAGTCAGACCTTTAGTTTGCAAGACTTATCAGGTTCCGTCCTTTCCCCGCAACTATAAACAGGAACCTCACTGTCTAGCAGGGCTAGAAGGCGCCCCTTTACAGCATCTCTAGATGCTTATAATTTCCTAGAACATGTAGTTTTTTGCTCAGACCCATTACGGTTTCCCATTTCTTTTTTTAAATCCTCATCTGAGGATGTCTATTTATTGATTTTAGAGAGAAAGTGAGGGAGAGAGAGAAGGACATTGATGTGAGGGAGAAACATCAGCCCATCGCTTCCAGTGGGTACCTGGGATCGAACCCGCAACCTTTTGGGTACAGGATGACACGCCAATGAACTGAGCCACCTGCCAGGGCTTTTTTTTTTTTTTTAATAACCATTAAATATTGTTGGAGTTTTGTTTGTTGCCGTGCATTTTCTGGGACATTTTTGTTTCTTCCATTTGTGGTAAATACCCATGGTTTGAAATCCAGCCAAAAAAGGTCAAGAAAAACCACCAGGAACCTTAAAAAAGGAGTGGAAACGCCGCTAACAGCTCTGATAGGACGCCTCAAATACAGCGAATTCACACCAGAAAAGATGTGGCAACTGATAGGCCAGCTTCCTTTTCTGACCCAGGAGGTTAGAGAAGAAAAAATTTCAACCTACATGCAAATCGCGTCAGAAAAGCACAAGGGAAGAGCCAGCAAGACCTATATTCAAAAGGTCACTGGGTCTCAGTTTCCTCACCTTTGAAACAGGACGAATGTCTCTCACAGCGCTGAACACAGTAAGTAGTCAGTAAATTAAACACCTACCCTAGACATTGTTTTCCTAGACGAATTCCAGTTATTCTTAACAGGCATGTGATTTTTTTTTGTTAACCAAATCTTTAGAGATCAGTAACGATAAAACCAAGGACTATTACAGGC